GACGAACAATACTGAAAATTAAGTGAAAATCAGAAGTCGAAAGTCCAACAGCTTTTTAAGATTCAGAAAATTGTTAAACTAATAAAGAGGGAGGGGGGGGGGGGTCCTAGGTTTATATATTACATGGATCATTCGCACAACACTGGCACTCAATTGTACGCATAGTGTTATCGTGTAATCATCATCTCCATGTCTACCCTTTCCCACCCCGTTAAGGTATTGGAGCGCGGAATGGTATCGTTTGCCTATTGCATGCTATTACCCGTCCCAAGCTATCAGTCCCGGGGCATTAGGACTTCTAATCCTAAAAGGGGGAGAAAGGGATGGGGGCCTTTATGGAGTTTAAAGGACAAAAATTCTAATCGACATTCAAAAACAAGTAACAAGTAGGGGGAATGAACAGACAAACAGGTAAGGCTCACATAAACCCCGTAAATCAGATAACATATAGTTTAGCATGCCTTTACACATACTGGTTTAGTCTTTAAAATTAAAAATTAAGCAGCAAGCGGACTGGTTCAATACATACGTTTAGACAGGAAGCCCACATTAGGCAACTTGGATCCAATTGTCAGAACTTAAGGTATTTTAAGCGAGTGATTTAGAAAGTACTAGTTCTAGAAAAGTAGTCTAATGCCGGAAAGTACAGACTGCAGTCAGTTTAGAAATAAGTTTTAAGAGAATCATGAGTATAAACCATAAAAGGAGTTCCAGAGTCAGAAATACTTAAGGAAAGAGTAAACTGCAGAACTGTTTTAAAGACAATTTCAGGAAGACCAAAACTTAGTTGGAAAATGTTTAGGCAGAATTTTAGAAAGAAACCATTTCAGAAGAGGTGCTGATTTGAAGAACTCAAGTGTATACTGTTCAAAAGAGTTTTTGTCAAAAGATTGAGGCTGAAAACATTAAGACATTAGAGACCAGTTAACAGATTGTTATTGCTTAAGAAGAATCGGATGACCTTGATGCGGAATCCTATGATATCTATATATGATTTTAAAAAGTCTGTTAAGAACTGGTAAGAAGAGGTAATTATTTGATTACCCTACAGTTTGCCTAATGCATATGCATTCCCTATAGGCATGATTTCTATATGCACTGATTACATGAACGTTAAGGTCCTATAGGCAGGATTTCTAGATGACTTATATCATAATTAAACGTTAAACCCTATAGGCATGGTATCTAGGTGACTTGAATCAGAAACATCGAACCATCTTATGTGCAGTATTTCTAGTGGAAAAAAAAATAAAGTCCTAAAGTCATGATATCTACCCTTTATTGATGCAAGAAAGTAAAACCCCTCCCACACCCTTTTACTAGATTCCCAGTTCTATACACGTTATTACAACCCAATGAATCAACTGAAATAATAGAAATACATCAAAAACTAACAGCTAGATCCTAGTAGCCTAATTCAAACTTAATGTCCAATAATATGTATTTAACCAACTCCGGGGTCCAGATCTCCAAAGCCTTCTCATTATCCAGGGTGTTTCAAAGTTTCAAGGAACCTCAGGGATTCCAGGCATTGCTTACACCCAGGATGCCATTATGAACAGGATGGTGCAGTGTGGAATAGCCAGCCCTCAGGCATCCAAGTTCAGAGGGAGCTCAGGGGTCCCAAAGCATGGCTTGCAAGAGAGGGGCAGAACTTATAGCTAGGAGTAAGTGCAAAGTGAAAGGGAATTAGGGGCCATGACAAGTGATGGTCATACCTAGCCATAAGGTAGGCAGGCACACCCCTGACCACTTGCTAGATGAACAAGTTAGGAGCAGACCTTTTGATGGTCAGACAAAGGTCTGGATAGTGATTAGGACACTATCAGACCTAAGTCAAGGCTCAAGCACATAATGGGGAGAATGGGAAGTAGGAATTGATTGAGTTAAGGAGTTCAATGAACCCAGTTCAGGATCATAGACAGCAATATTGGGGTGCTGCTATGCCCTGAACAATAAACTCACGTACAAAGAGGTAAAAGGGTAAAGGGGATTCACAGAGTATCAATACATGACAAACAATTGATTACACACATAACTTAAATACAGAAATATAAAGGAGAGGGAAATAAATATCAACTAAAGGAAATAGGCAGAATCAAACACATTGTTGTTGAGGCATGTAAACTAACTGAGACATACCAGTAGAGAAGCAAAAGAAGTGCAGAAGAAAGTAAAGTAAACACAGTCCACAGCAGCACAAGTATCAAAAGAGAGAGTTTTAAGTGAAATTGAATTGTGAACTCAAATGGTGTTCTGTGTTCATGTGTGTAGGAAAAGTCTGTGAAAAGCCTCTGTAAAACTCTCCTTTAGTGCAAAAAGGCAGGCCCTTTTATAGTGCAGAAGATGAGTAAGAAAAAGGTAAGAGAATAGTTTTGAAATCAATCACAAGTTGTTTCCCTTTGGTTAAGGGATTTGATTCAAACGGGCAAAAATAAATAAGGAAAGGATTCGTTTTAAAAATCTTTTCTAAAGCAGTGTAATAGGGTAATAGGGACAAATACACACAGCAGTTTATTTAAGGAAATAGTATAGTAGCACACGGTTTGGGCAGAACAAGGAAAGACAATCAATCAACAGCCCGTAAAATCAGGGTTCGAATCTTAGTGTGAATGAATCCAACCAGAAAAGGTGAGAAGGGGTTTAATTTAAAGAAAATCAACAGTACAAAACCTTTTAAAAAGGAACTCGGAATCAATCACAAGCTGGCCAAAGGCCTTTTGAAAGAAGAGAATTTGTCATATAAAAAGCATACAGACATGTGAGACAAGAGAGAGTTGTCGTAAAACTAGCAAGAAATCAGAGTGACCAAGAAGGTTAGGTTCGTAGACCTAGAATGAGCCTGAAAGAGAGTCAAGGGTTCTGAATGGAACCCTAGACCAAACACAAAGTCAAGCCTGCCAAAAAACCCAAAATACTAGGGTTTCTGACTCGAATCAGATGCATAGACGAGAAAACAACAAATACAACAGGCTCAGTAGTCTCTTTCATAGACTTATGAGAAAACAAACAGAGAGAGCAGCAAGTTTGAAACACTGGGAATACATTTAGGCAAAACATGGCACTCAAACAAGTTCAGGAGAGAAAAAGTGATACAGGTTTAGGAAAAATAGTAGACGGAGCCTGCTTAGAGTTCGAGCAAAAGTCCAGTAAAGGCAAACAAGGATTAGAAACTTAGTAAAATACAGTAAAGAAACATACGAGATAGACATGTAAAGCATGCTTATAGAGCCCGATAGAAGAAAGAACAGAACACAAAAATTAGAAGAACATGCATAATATGGCAAAACATAAGAACATAGGAGCAGACATGCGAGGAAAGAACACAAGAACATGGCATAGACAGATTCACACAAAGAAAAGAAGAAGAAGAAAAGTCAGAAGTTGTTTTAAGATTTTCCGAAAACCCTAAATTGACACAGACTAATTTTGAAAAGAAAATTGGGGAAAAGCTTTAAAACATTGAATATAGCACAGATCCACCATAGATCTAAGTAAATAAAAGAGAAAGGAACCTCGAATAGCCTTAGGGTTTCTCTGAAACAATGAGAAGGCTTGGAAGAGGTCTGGTCTTGAGTCAGAGATGGCCATGACTAGGCTTCTAAAGCTCGAATACGTCGGAATGGGGCCTAGAGAGGCCACAGAACACAGATCTGCATGGGATCTGAACATACGCCATCGAGGTCAGACCTCAAAATCTCGAACACCCATGTTTTAGGGGTAAAGGAAGGTGAGCACAGGTCGTCCATGGCCTGAAAAGCCATGGACTCCGGCGAGATAATGGTTGGAGAAGACGAGGGAGGCAATTAGGGTTTGAGTGCTTGAGAGCGTTTGAGAGAGAAGAGAGTTAGAAGGCGGCTGTCGAAGAGAAATGGGGATTAGGGTTATGTCATGTGGAATTGAAAAGGAAAGAATCATTTGTGGCCGTTGATCAAAAGGATCAACGGCCTGGATTTAAAAGAACCCCGGGCGGGTTTAGCAATTGGGTCAGGGGTCGGGTGAGAAATTAAATTGGGTCGTTTTGATTTGGGGGCGGATTGGGCCAAAATTAAGGCTAAAATTGAAATGGAATTGGGGCTGCAATTGAAATGAATTGGGGCTATAATTGAAATAGCCAGTTTTCCCTTTTATTTTATAAAAAATAAAAATGATTTTAAAAGAAAAATTAAAGATGCTGAACCAATTAATAATACATATGTATTAATTAAAAAATACTGGAACTGATTTTGCAATTATAAAACACTATTAATCGTAAAATAGGCTATAATTGCATTTATATGCAATTAGCTTTAAAAATACCAAACAAATTTGTAAAAATATACAAAAATCACCTTTTTATATTTTGCTGTAAATATGAGAATAAAATAAATTATTCAGCAATAATGATAGTTTTGGAAATAATTATTGGATTTTGTTGTGTTAAAATAGGCAATAAATTGATTTTAAGAACTTAAAAAAAATACTAAAACTCTTGGGTGTGCTTATATATGCACATATATACTA